GTCTAGGAAAGGTTTGGGATAGAAGACATGTTGAATTAATTTGTGTTTACCCTTACGTGATACTGTGGTAACTTTTAAAATTAAGAAGTTTTTTAAAAATATTTTTAGTATTGGTTTAAAAAATATATATGTTAAAAAAATATGTATTTATTTAAAACTATTTTAAGATTATTTTTTGTATAGAAAATAAAAAAAAAGTCCCTATAAATAAAAAGAGAGTATAGAAAATAAAAAAAAAAGTCCCTATAAATAAAAAGAGAGGTCATTTTAACTTTTATAAAATTGAGATGTGTTTAGTGGGAAAAAAAATGTATTTAACTGTATAAATAATTGTTTTTTGTGCTCGGATGAAATGCAAAAGCTACAATAATACCAAATAGTCGAATCTTTAATAAGTTTTTGACTCATAATTAACTATTACACTTAATGGTAATTTTTTTTTGTGTGGATTAAGAGTACGTTTAGGGGTATATAAATTAAAATTGAGATAATAATCTAGATAATTTAAAATAGCTTTATCTCAATTTTTTTTACTGAATCAATTTTTACCCCATCAACTTGAAATTTGACCTAAGTTAAGGGCTGGATTAGCGAGTCATCGAGTTAGGCTAGATCTATAATATCTTTTTTTAATTTAATTAGATAAATAAAATTTTTTTCATCACAAACCATATTCATTTCTTTCTAATCTGTAAGGAAACATACATGCATTAATTTTACTAATGTGTGCATGTATATATATAAGGTTTAATTAAATTTATTTCTAAAACCTTCTTTCTTTATAATTTTTAACGAGGATTATAGTTATAAATACTTTTTAAAACCAAAGTTTTAGTTGTGATGTAGATGTAGTTTGTTTTTGCATTTAAAATTATAGTTGAGTGTGTTTTAAAAGTATATTTAACTTGAAAAAAATATTAAATTATTGTTTTATAGTATTTTTTGATGATTTTGATGTATTAATATATTTGTTTTATAGTATTTTTTTGATGATTTTGATGTATTAATATAAAAAAATAAAAAATAAAAATATTTTTAAATAAACAATAATTTTTAAAAACCCACTACATCACAATACCAAACACATATTATATATTATATAAAGTATGTTGCTCATTTCTTAATACATTCTTTTTGTTGAAAAGGAAATACTTTTCATGGTAACATGATTAACTACTTTCTGGCTAGACCATATGCATAGCACCGAGATGTGTTTCCACTTTTCAATCCTCCCTTTTATTTGTCCATTGGATGAATTAATTATACCTTCTGAATCTTTCAAGATCGTGAAGACTTTATTCTAATTAAAAAGAAAATGTGAAAAATCACCAATTATCTGTGTGCAAGAGATCCATATATATATATGAGCTGAACCGGCCCCGCGAAAATGAAGCTTACATGCAAGCAATTAGAGGGGTAAGGTAACACAAGAATTATTAGCATAAATAAATTATAGTTAGAAACGATAATTCAATTTAAATTTGATAGATATTCATCAAAATAAATGTTTTTTTAAATTCAATATATAAATATCCAAAATTATTGTCCGATGTGTGAACCCAATTCAAACCTGATCTGAATTATATACATTAATGCATATAATTTTAAGTAATAAATAATTCTTAAAAATGGATACACAAGATCTCGATGAACTGAAATTGGAAATCAATGCACAACCTTAAAGAAGAAGTCTTGTATGTTTTTTTAAAGAGATTGAAAGGGAGACAAAAGGGATTTTAACATAAGTTGGGCCATCGAGTAGTATTATAAACATAAGAAGGGGAAGACAATGGTCTAAATTCTTTGAGTTAAATAAATAGGCAGGAATTATATATAATTAAAGATCACAGAAATGGCAGGGCATGAGTAGATCCAGGAATAAATTATTGCTCGGATGTGGTTAAGGAAGAGGGGAGGGAGGTGGCAGCACATGGAAGAGTTGAGTGGTTGGCATACAAAATTGTTTCCTACGCAATAAAAATGGTGGGACAGTAAGGTATGGACGTACATGAAGAATTATTGAGGCAGCTGAGTCGTGTAATGTGACGGATCTGCGCCCGGAGGAGGTATATCAGACGAAAATATAGGTATCATCTTTGTTTTTATGCTCCCAATAAAATTTAGATTTTAAATTAATATTTTTAGATGATTTTGTTGTCAAAATAACTTTTAAAAAATAAAATAAAATATTATTTTAATGTGTAAAAAAAAAAACTTTCAAAAACAACAACTACTGTATATATATTCACATACACCCTCTAAGATCCGACAAGGTTCATAATTTAATGGGTTGATGGGATTCTACTTTAGAGTGTTTTTGAGTTGATGGGATTCTACTTGATGGGATTCTACTTTAGAGTGTTTTTGATTTTTTGCTTGAAATTATATTGTAGTGATTTTGTAGATTTTTATTTATTTTCAATTGAAAAAAACTAGAACATATTGATTTGATTCTTTTTCAAAGCAAACAAACTCTAAAAAACATTTAAAAGCAGAAATTACCGTACCTCCGTTTATTTTATTTTTTTCAAATGAATTAACATTGTTTTAGATGAGTTTTTAAATAAAAATTACAAATAAAATAAAAATCATTGATCTAGATCTGCCGCAGATGATGGGATCAACGGGAATACCCAGTAGGCCGAGTTTTGTGTGTGTGTTGGGGGTGGGGACTGTTTGAAATTGCTTATATTATAAGGCAAACAGGACTGCTAGTTTTGGGATCTGCGCTATAGGATTACTGTGAGAGAATCTCATCCCTACGGATTGATGAGTGGCCTTGCGTGACGATACAGTTGGAGAGATTCCCTCCGGCCAGTCTCCTCCTTGTTCTTTAACTAGAAATGGCAGAAAGATGAGTGTACCGTGGAGAATGAGCAGAGACTGTGGAGTCTTCATTGGCCTCCTCCTCCTCCCGCATGCATGCATGCCTGCCTGCCTGCCTGCCTCCCTTTTCTCGTCGTCAATGCCAATCCTGCTGAGCTGACCATCCTAGTTATTATGGACCCACTTCTTTCTGTGCATCAACAGAAGCTCCTCACGTCATAGCCGCCTCCTATTCCCCCTCGTGGGTCTCCGTTCATCATTACGCAAAAGTAAAGTTTTGGATCAATAATTGATGGTGCTTTTCTGGGTTGATGATAGATGCTTCTGTCGTCTAATAAGTTACCATCTTTTGCTTCAACAATAAGCTGTCCTCATATTTTTTATTTTTTTATTTTTTTATTTAGATATGTCCCCTCCTCTTTTTTTATATTCAAATTTTAAGATTCACACTTAATTAATTTATTAAATTTCGGTTCAACATTGTTTACATGGTTTCATTTTTAGCGAACTGGGTTTTTGTTTTTAATATGCCTGAATTTTTTTTATTTAGCTTGATTTAATTTTTTAATTTTTAAGATTTAAGTTCAAAATCAAAACAAAAAAAATAGTTTTTTTTTAAATCTCCGACCAACATAATCCAATTTTTTTTTTTTGAAAACCATTTGGTTTGTTTAATTTCATGTTGGTTAATTTTAACAGATATTTGGGTTAATTTGCTTGCCCATGATTAAATTCTTTCGGATGCATTATTGCAGATATGAAAGGAATCCTATAAGATCATTCGAGAAAACTTAATCTTGATCAATGTATAAACGGGTTCGAGGATATTGATTTTATCATTAAAAAAAAAAAAAAACTTTTGATTCAATGAAAAGTATAATGGGCCTTGGGTTTTCTTTTAGTACAATACAACAATGGACTAAAGGCCCAAAATAGAAAACAAGATTATGTAACACAGGCAAAGCCGTGAGTGGAGCTGTCTCTTCTTGGGATGGGTAATACGTCAGCCCAATAAAAATAGTTTCCAGGCCCACCTCCTGATTAATGCTAAACCCAGTTGGTCTGATCTAGGTCTGCGTTCCAAATAACAATTAACTTGAAGTCACGTAATATAAATTTTTATTTATTTATTTATTTATTATATCCTAATAATTTATTTTATCACTCAATGATTTGACTATCCTGTAATTTTGATCATTATGGATATTATAATATCATTATAGCTTAAAAGATAAATTATTAATTTTAAAATATAAACTAATTATTATTCAATTTGTAATAAGTAATTACAGGATTCATAAGTAAATCATTTAACGCACCATTAAAGATTAGTTGATCTATTTGGAATTTTGTTAATTTTTCTGTGATTATAATAACTATAACCAATTAATTATATTTTTTTTAAATTCACAGCAATAGAAAAGAAAATGTATTATTTAAATTATAAAAATTCACGGCAATAACTTAAAATGTATTATTTAAAAATGTAGAAATAGTTTACAGGCCCACTCGAGATTAATGCTAAACCCAATTTTTCTCATCAAACTTTGATTTGTTTGATATTGTTAACATTATCCAAAAATAAAAAATAAAAAAAATAGAAATAATGAAGAAATTTTTCTTAATGATGCTAAAATAGAAAATGATGTTACTATAAATGATTTGAAGATTTAAATGACTGAAAATCTAGAGAATTCAAGTTTTAAGTAATAATATTGATAATATTGATGTTGGTATTGATTTCAATATTAATATTTATAATATTAGTGTTAATATGATGATAATGATATTGATAAATTTATAAGATAGATGACAACAATGAAATTGGTTTTAATTTATATAACATACTAGCAGATTATTATTTATTTTAAGTTTGTTGATTGCTAGTTAAAAAAATCTATGAACATAAATAATTATATTGCATTTTTAAATTATTTAAATTAGATATAAATTTTTATTTGAACTACATATTTTAAAATACTTGAATTATATATAAATTTTTATTTTAACTATATATTTTAAAATACTCGAATTATATATATATATATATATATATATATATATAAAATTCTTATAATTTTATCATCTAAGTTTATTTTATATTTTTTATGTGATATCAAAAATATATTTTTTAACAAACTTGATTCTAAATCTCTACGGCATATAAAAGAAACTATCAAAACCATGTAATCTGAAACTTCCAGCAGAAAGCATATAAATATGGTACATATTCTACTTAAACGAGAGGATTTTTGACGTTTGCTTTTTATCCTTAACATCCGTTTAGTTGAACAAAAAAAAAGAAAGAATGTTCTTTGCCTTCTTGTCTGCCAAAACTATAATTCCATCCTTTCACTTCTTTCAATGAGCTTTCGGTTTCTCAATCTTCACATATGGAAGAACACCCATGAAATGGACCACTTCGGGGGACCATCCTCGTTGCCGAGCACGGCAGAACATCAAGAACGTGTTTGCAAGGTATGAATTGAAACCCATAAATACATGCCACAATGCATGACCCTGTGGGTTGACGGGCCATGTTGATATCTCGTTGCAGAAAATACGGTCGAAAAGCCAGCACAAAGTACCGATGAGAAGGGTGGCAACGTACATCTTTGCAAGCCGCTTCGCAGAGGCATCCTGCGTGTAAATGTAGTACTTGTACATTCGAGGGATGCAGAGGAGGCATAGGATAGCATAATGCACCTTGAAAGCAATTCCCAAACGTACCACTGAATGGACAGCAGCAAAAACAGCACCATACAGAAAGAGGAAGATGGGCATTGTACTGCGATAATGCCAATCTGGTGAGTAGAGGATGTACATATACAGGAGCATCTCCCATACCATAGGGGTTTCATCACTCTGCTGTTGCCTGGAAACAAATTTCAACCATCATCTTCAAGCATGAATCCTCACTCTTTATAGATAAGCATAAATAGTGTAGAACGCTAGAGAGGTTGTTGATTGAGGGGTGTCATTTCTAAGTGTTAATAGATTGTATTCCAATGAGCATATGAATGTATTGTACTATGCCTGCAGTAATGGTAACGGAGCTTTTAACCATTTTTATCTTAGGCATGCATAACTCTTCTAACCAGACATGTCTGCTATCAAGAAAGCTATCTGTTTATAGCTGGACGACCGCCGAATGTTTTCATGAACACTTGGAGGCTGGTGCAAAAACAGATATTCCCACCCTATTCTCTTTCCCACCTCTAAGAAAATTTCTAATCAGACTCCTCCACTCTATTCATGCATATAACTCATGTAGAAGGGACTGTCCTAAATTTCTTCACGTTCCAAAAAATTCCCTCAACTGCTACGTCGGAATTTCGGCATCACTCAATCAAACATCATCAAATCCTTTAAGAGGGAGGGGAGAATAGGAGTTGACTCCTGGATATGGAAAATAACACAAACATACAACCTAAATAAACTTTTGGTAAAAAAATTTCTTGTCTATTCACGGCTCGAACAAGCAAAAAAATGCAATTTTGAATTTACTAGTATTCACAGTGCAAGTAAGAAGCTTGCACTGCAATACAACACAAACATTTCTCACACGGTAAGTCACCACGAGTTCACAGCCACCAGGCTCCACAAGCTCAGCTCGTAATGAGTTCTATCTGTCTCACCATTTATATGCTTTCTCCACAACCTATCCTGCAGTAACCCTACTGATGTATGCAAAACACCAATGCTCACATCCTTTTTAGCTCATGCATTGAAAAAGGATGGAGCCTAGGCTATGTTTATTCTTTGTAATTTATTTTTTATAAAATTATTTTTTAAATTTATTTGTATTTATTTGTAATTAAAAAAATTGGTTAACAAAATATACTTTCTAGTTAAAGAAAAATTTAACATGGTTTTCATGAAAGTGTTTTTCTAAAAAATTTAAATAAAAAAGACTTTCAGGAAGTTATGAAATATTTAGAAACGTCATATTATTTGCTGATTATATTAAATTTTACATTCAAACTTTTTATTACTATACATATTTTGTTTTAAATATTTATTTTTCAATTTTATTTATTAAAATTTAATTTTTATATTAACTTTAGTTTTCATTTTTATAATTGTTATTTGTTTTTTCCCTGTTATTATTTTATTAAAAAATTTTATCTATCAAATTTGGCCCTCATTATTTTGATTGTTACTTATTTTATTTTAAATAATTCATGAAATGTTAATTATTATTATTTTAATTTCTTCATATTTTATTTTTTATATTTAATCTCTATTATTTTGATTATTATTTATTTTATTTAAGATAATTTATGAAATTATATTTTTTTAAATTTCATTCTCATTCAACTTTTTAATTTTAAAGATTTGTTTCTTATTATTTTAATAAAATTGAGAAAAATAAAATATTAATAAGTTATTTTTCAATTCATTTTCTATAATATAATCAAATACTGAAAAGTTTCTTTTAATTTATTTTTTATACTACTAAGTATTAGAAAATAATTTACTTTATTAAAATTTATTTTTTAAAATATTATTTTTTAGTAAACAAAGATGTCTTACCAAGAAGAAAAACAACGGTTCGATTTGCATCCTGTTACTATACACCGACTAGAACAAAAAAAAGTTGTAATGGAGCACTGCTATAAATTCTGCATTTTCAATATAAAACCCAACAGAAAATAAAAAGAAAAAAAATTGAATCGAGTTTTATTTAGCTAGGAAATCCTGAATAAATTCCACAAGTTTATGCATTGCATTGTTTTGAGATTTTCATTTTTTAAGCTATCAGATGTTATGCCAACAAGAAGCATGAAAAAGCTTTAAAATTGTTGAATAAGAGACGGGGAGGGATACTTACACACGTTGCAAAGTGGCGTGGAAAATCATGCTGCCACTAGCAAGAATCATGTTAGATATGTGAAGAACACTAAATCTCTTCTCAAACCGTTGCCTCAGCGCATTTATAAGACCCAGGAGTGCCAAAACAATGCATGGAATGTTAGAAATGGTGTTGTGAAACTCAGCAATATATGAAGAAGAGGCATAATTCTTCTCACAACACTCTGTCGTGGACGTTACAGGACCCCAGAAACTCGATATTCCTCCTTCAGCCATTCTCGCCAAAACCCTTCTACTTCAAGAAGATTGAGCGAAATCCCTGTTATCAGATCGAGTGCCTGCAGATTCAGCAGCCCAAAAATAAAAAAATAAAGATTGTTTTTAATTCTAAAAAATAACAATAAGATACAATCCAATCCCATTAATTATTCCTAATAACAATTCAGAATAAATAAATAAATCATGCATTTATATGTATATAAAAACCTTTAGGTGGTTAAAAGCAAAAGGAGGACGATGCTGTTACTGATGACAGCTGCTACATAAATTAATTAATAACCAAGCGAGCAGGGCAGGGCAGGGGAGGAAGAGGGTAAGGGGAGGGGAGGGGAAGAAGATTCTCTTTTCTGCATTTCGAGACAAAGGGTATTTATAGGCACGACGGGCCAAGGCGGAAGCTGAAGCGGCAGCGGCGGAACCAGGAGAAAAAAACTGAAAAACGAAAAAAACAGAGAGAGAGAGAGAGGAAGAGATCCCGCTCCTTCTCTTCCCTTTCTTTTGTTTCGTTTTCTAGAACAAAGCTTCAAATTATTATGACATTTTCAATTTTGTAAATTAATTATTTTTATATTAATTTTATTCATAAACTATTAAAAATTTTCAAACCATGATGTGTGATAAAATGTTTTTTTGGGAAAAAAATTAATCTGATGAATATATGAATGAAAAACCTTGAAATTAGATGAAAGATTATTTGAGAATTTTTTTTTTATCTTGAAATAACATAGATATATTTTAGATTTGTTTTTATTGGGATTCCCCCCTTTTAAATCCAAGATCTGAAACTTACATGAATCCGTTCTTGAATTGGAAAAGACAGCTATACATTTTTTTTTTCAAATCAATTTATTAAATTGAATCTAACACTAAAGAAACATAAAATTAATGTTTTTAAGTATTTTTTTTGTGATTTTTATGTAATAATTTTAAAAAATATATAAAAAATCATTTATTTTCAATTATAAATCATTTTTTAGAAAAGACATTACATCATGTTCATCAACATTCACTACTATAAAAAAAATAATTTTATTTTAAAATATATTAAAATAATATTTTTTTAAATATTCTTTATATCAATACAAAAAAAACAATCTAAAAATCATATCCTGCCTATTTAAAAAATTTTTAGTTAATATTTAAGAATGAAGTTCAAACCGTATTTATTAAAAATTTAAAAATACTAAAATTTTTTTTACTATTTTTATATTATTTTGATATTAATATTAAAAATATTTTAAAAAATATTATTTTAAATTATTATTTTAAATTATACATACTAGCCTCATGCATCACTTGCCGCTAGTTTGAGCACATTATCAACTTTATTAGCCCAATATCATGGGTCAACGGTATACAATTGTAACTTGATGGGCATCGAATACAGCCCATGGATTATGGGTTTGATAATATTTTTTTAGATTTTTTTAAAATAATAAAATTTGATTTTTTATAAATAATTTATGGTAAAAATAAATTAAACTTTAAATTATAATTATATTTTAACAAGTTAATTTAAATTAAATTTTTTAAGGTTCAAGAAATCAATAATTTGAGATGTTGACTGGCTCGAGAGATGAGAATAGAGTTTTGAATTAACTTTTTTTAGCATATTATTTTAATATTTTTTTATTAATTTACTTTAGCAATTATATTTTTTTAATAAAAAATTATTCTAGTTGGAAACCTTGTATTTATTAGGATAAACAAGATATATGGTAATAAAAAACATATCTTAATAATTTTTTTTAAATGATTATATTTTCAAGTTTAATAATAATGTTAAAGAATTCCATTATATCTTATTATTTTTTTAAAAAAAAAATTGATCCCTCCAAGCATAGCCCGTGTATATATATTAGTGCTAATTAGGATTTATTTGTTTTGGATAAAATATCTAATAGAAAAATATTTTTCTATACTTGTTTTTCATAAAATATTTTGTTAAAAAAACTGGTTAACATCAAATATTTTACAATTAATCTTTAAATCAAGTTCATCTAAAAAAAATATTTTCAATCATGAAATTAGAAACTATTGCACTAATAATAATCCACTTTCAGTACCATTCAACCATTTTTATTACCATTCTCATCTTATAATTACTTTAACCACCATTATCATTTTATTATCACAACACCATTATTATTTTTTTATTATTATAATTGAAAAAATATTTTATATAAAAATATTTCTTTTAATGTTATATTTTTGAAGTTAAATGTTAAATAAAATTTACAATTAAAATATCTTATGAGAAATGTTATTACGTATAAAACATTTTTCATCCATTAGATATTTTTATGAAAAACATAAGCATAGCTAGATTAACTTAAATGATTGACTCGAAATTAATTACCGAGCAGTAGCAAGTACTCATGATCACATGGGAGATGAGGGGAACCGATAATTAAGTTCATTGAACGTAGACAGGAAGGAACTCAGTGGAGTGATTAGATTCATTGAACCTGGACATGCTTAAGCATCGATAGCTAATTATTTCTCAATGCGTCCTCACCAACACTCCATGCGACTATTTTCCACATCCAAAAATATAGGAAAGCAGAGGTTGCCCCATCTTGCTAGTTAGCTACTTTTTTTTATATTAATTATTTTTTATTAAATATTTGTTATTTTTTTAATTTATTTGAATTTGAGAAAATTAATTAAATTACTAAAAATTTAGTCAAGTTAATTATATTTATAGACAAATTTAAATTAATTTAAATCAAATATTTTTTCTTAAAACACTTTTTTTATTATTATTTTTGTGATGACATGATCAACTCAACCTAAATTAACTATTTTTATTAAAATACTATTATTTTATCTTTTTATAATTAATTTACTTGGATTTGGATTTGAAATGTTAATTAAGTTATTTAAAATTTAACCAGATTAATTAAATTTTATCTGATTAATATTTTATTTAATTCAATTAAAAGCTTAATTCAAATCATAAATTTTTTGAATTAACATGTAAAATCAAGTAAATCTACATCTAACTACTTACATTATAATGTTGACATTCATTATAATCATAAGAGGTGGGCAATTAATCCTTGATTAGTCAAGTCTAAGCAGTGTGTAGATGGTGGCTGCATTGTTGGTCGTGGATCCCAGCTCCTTCCAAATTATGGCATTAACATGGCCTCATTACCATACTATTGGTGAATGGATCCGTACGTAAGCCGAGCAGAAATGGGAGCCAGTAGACATTAGTACTTCCATCATGAACACACACCACCGACATATTTATCGAAATTATCAAAATTAAATACATTCTTCATATAATTTTAAAAAAACAAAGGCATATCAGTATATTGCATTCAAGAACATTTGATAACAGTTATTTGTGCTCATCACTGGATAAAATATCAGTGTTATAGGCATGCAACATGCAAGCTTCTTCTGAAACCCAGTTAGAAACTTTTTAATTAATTAAAAGATTAATTAGGAGGAAATAAATTTGCCCATGTGAGGAGCAATATCCAATTCAAATCTATAGAAAACGGACGTACTTAACGCTAATTGATGGACTCATACATGGTAATTAATTATGGGTACAAATCCTTGGAATTAAAGCCACATAATTTTAGTAATTAATCCTTGGAAAGCCACATCATTTTAATAATTAATTCCTGAGCATGAGCCTTTTTAAGTAAACGAAGATGGATGTGGATAAAATACATGCAACAATCAATGGTTAGGCATGAACCTAGACTCGAAGTAGCAGAGAGATTCATCGAAGGTTAGCATAATCAAGCCCGCATGCATAGACGAAACTGTCGTAGTCCCACACACTTTTACCTTCTCTTGCCAGTTTCTGTCTTGCCTTTCTTATGTATATATATATCACCATAGTATCGACATCTTTGTGCCATTTACAACATCATTTCCCCATCTCAATATACACCATCTTGATCTTCTTTTAAGTCTCAGATAAAAGTTAACCTGCAGACATCAAGCCCTTTTCAGATTCCGTGTTTTCTAGACATCTAGCTGCTTCAATCATTCTCAAGAAAAGGGGAGGTCAAGAGAATATATATATATAAAGAAAAGGGTAATTGGATTTATATAGCGGTGAGACAAAAATGGCTAAAACCGGTCCAGTGAGGTTCAAGAGGGTAGCTGCAGCTTTCAACGAGGCATCTCGGGCTATTAGGCTTTGCGAGAGTAGTGGGAGCGAGCACTACTCTCCTGAAAACAATTCTGCAGATCTTTCCGATCTTGTCAATTCTTTTATTGAGAGAGAGTATATGAATCAATTTAGAGGCGGAGGAGATCACAACGAGAAGGGAGATGATAATCTTGCTCATCAAGATCAGAAAGATCATCATCGCCAACAATCAAAACACAGTATTGATCAACATGATGAGTCATTGGATATTCGCTCTTATTCTGAAACCAAGGATACGTTGGAGAATTTGCTAAATAGCATTGAAGATGATGATGATGTCAGACAAAAGATCCGCAAGGAGACAGAACTTGCATGTGGTATCATAGGAGAAAGATCCTCATTGTCGTCCCACCTCGACTTTAAGCGTGGATTAATGTCGCATTTACGTGACCGAGGCTTTGATGCTGGTCAGTACATCTTCCCATATATGTATAGCAATTATTGCAGAATTTTCGCTGTAATACAGGGGTTTCGTGGTCAGAAATCACACATTGTTCTTATTTAATCTGTTCTTGTGAATGGCTCAGGTCTATGCAAATCAAGGTGGGAGAAGTTCGGGAGGCATCCAGCAGGAGATTACGAGTACGTAGACGTGAATTTTAGTGGAAAACGCTACATTGTTGAAGTTTTTTTAGCAGGGGAGTTCATAATTGCTCGGCCCACCAATCATTATACTGAATTGCTTCAAGTTTTTCCCCGAGTGTACATTGGGAAGCCTGAGGAAGTTAAGCAGATTGTGAGATTAATGTGCAATGCAATGAGAGAATCAATGAAAGGAGTGGGAATGCCTGTAGCACCTTGGAGGCGACATGGGTACCTGGAGGCAAAGTGGTTTGGTCACTACAAGCGGACAGCAAATGAAGTGCCAAGTAGAAGAAAGGGAACAAAATCTGATCATGAGGTCATTTCTGCAAGAAGAGTTGCTGGGTTTGAGCCTTTGCCTGTGAGAGCTTACCATTGCAAAGATGATTTTGCAAGCAAGGTTGGTTCGGGAGTTAGCCATTTGACTGCTGCATTCAGAAGCGATGGCATTGATAGGTGATATCATCATGATCGTTGTTAAATTAATTTCAAGAGGATTGCTTTGATTTGGTAGCTAGCTAGCTCTTCAACTAGCCAAAGGCAAAGGCCACGAGTAAATTAAGTTTGGCTTTGTGCATTGTGTATAGGGAAATAATTACCTCCCATTTGTAAGAGTTAAGGTGGGAGGAATCTGGGTTTGAAGGTGTTTGGATTGAAGGTGGGATGAATACGAATGAGCCCTTAATTTTGCTTTCTACCATATCATAATTTGAACGTTGTCTTGGTAAATAGATATATAGCTAGGTGCAATCATTGCTGTTATGAATGAATATTACACCAAAAATTAAGTATAAAAGGGATATCTGTTATTGCAGTTGATATGTATTTTTAAAATGATATGAAATCTTTTTTAGTTATGAATTATTATTTTTATATATTTTTGAATCGTCTTGATACTAATATTAAAAATATATTATTTTAATATATTTCTCAACTAAAAACATTTAAAAAAAAACTTCGATCATGCTACCAAACAAACATCCACATGTATCCAGAAATGGCAAATCAGTTTTGTCGTCTCTGTCTCTGTGCAATTCTTTTTAGTTTAATTACAATTATGATTTCAAGAATTTGATGATGATCGACTGATAATTTATAATTTAATGGTAATACAGAGTATCCCCGTCGTTCATTTGAAGAATGATGCTCGAAGCCATAACTGATCACGAGTCCTAGGATCTTTTATTGTTTCAAGCCAATGATCGTTGAGTCCTAGGATCTGCACCATAGTATACATGTTGACGATGCTAGGAGGTGTAACACCTGAAAGTTGATTGCTGGCCATGCATAACTCTTTCAAGTTATTGGCAGACAAGTCCACAGCCTGTAACTTTGCTATGTAGCCTTGTGATTGTGAGATGGAACCTGTGAAATTGTTCGTGAAGGACCCGAACCATGGTGGGATGATCTCCCCAATGAAGTCATTGAATGAAAAGCTGATGGACTTCAAGCGATTCAGTTTAGCAAGCTCAATGGGGATATAGAGCCATGAAAACTGCTGTTTCCAAGTCTTGGCCAACCAAGAAAAGATTAATTTCCCATTTCTGGAGGGATGGTGCCTGTAAGACGCATGCGAGGGAGATCTATAGCTGAATAATTTATAATTTTTACATCGGATCTTATACAAACTTTGATTTTGTAGAAACTAAAACCTGTTTTTCATTTATTTGCATGCGAAAATCCATCAAAGAGTCTCTTAAAGGAGTTTGGACCTTCTGATAATTGAGAAGGTAAAAAGTCTAAGAAGACTCTAGCAAATATGTGCTTGCAACAAGAAAGAATATGGAGTTCTTGAAATAAAAGAAGAAATCCCTTGCATTAAAGGATATGATCAAGGCTATTTATAGAGCCCTGAGCCCATGTGCTATAATCCTAGATTATTTAGGGACAAAAGGTCCATAAATCCAATAGGTTAATGTTAGAGCTGATGTAGTTGGCGAGGCTTGTGCATGTATTTAACGCACGCACTATTTATCTCTTTAATTGAAGAAAGATGGGTTTAGGCTGATCAGAGAGGGTGAGAGCAGAACAGAATACTGTCCGAGAATTCTTCGACAATCTTAGGATAGAGAGTCTCCCTGATGAGCTTCTTACTGTGTCTGTACATGAAGGGTTATTCCTTTAGAGGCGATAGGCCTTTCGTTGCAATCCCAGGTATGCAAGTCTTGAGGCAACCTTCCAGTGGCCAAAGGCAAAATAGATGACTATAAGCATGGCTAGGAGTATCCTGTTCATACTATCTAACGTGACTCTGGCAAGCAGGTACAAGTTCTTGCGGGGCATCCTTGCTCTTCAAATGGCTTTCCATTTTGTTTTTGTAAACAGTAATTGCTTTATACATCGAGTAACTACAGCACTCCTCGGAATGCCTATCTTTCTTTATCTCTGTGAAATCATTATGTTCCCTTCCTTTTCTTCTTGTTCATAAACTTCTTTGGCCTTGGACCGGCTAGAATCAATCAAGGCCATCATCATCTGTACGATGGAATACAACAAAATTGTAAACCAGGTCTGAACTTTGAAAGGGCAAAATGCCTCACTATATTCTTCATCCTTTTCTAACAGAAAGTAATCTCGAACACTGGATTGAATGATAATAGTGGTGTCCAATAGAGTAGTTCTGTTGTCCGTACGAAGAACAAAATTTAGGGAAATCAATCATTTTCAAAGGTGTTCGACCTGAACTTGTGAAAAGTTGACCTTTTTTGGTATCAACATGCGGGCAGAGCATGAACAACTCGTTCATCTTCTGGGATTTTTTGCTTTCATATTCCTTGGTTACCACTTAGGATAGTTTAAGTTGCTGGATATCATGGGATCGGGAGATCAACTTCAGCTGAATTTCAGGTAACGATGATGATTCAGAGGCAATTTCAAAGGTACAAATTTATTCATCAGTCATCAATAATGTTAACATGCCGTTCCAAAATTTTCCTCCACCTCTTTGTTTCTTACTTAATGCCCCAATCCTTGGAACCCCAGCATGCCTAACCAGCAACCACCACATCTGGGCTGCTCTTGTCCTTCCAGTAGGAAATGTTCAGTTTTACAAGATCCCAAGGAAATCTGAACTAGACAAGTCTGATCATATCAAATCACAAATCCAGTGAGCTTTTATTGTTATAGAACATGGTTATTGTTTAAGGTTTACACCAGATCGAGAAAAAAGTTACAAGAAGAAAGAGAGAAACTTGAGAGGAATAAATGTAGTCACGTATAGACGCTAAAAAGAAGAGAGAAACTTGGGAGGAATAAATGTAGTCACGTATAGACGCTCACTGCTGAGAAATTCGAAGCAGGAAGCCTGGAAAGTGACAATTGATCAATTTAAGAGAAGGGTCTCTGAAAAAGGCTAAATCCTATGCCATTTCCCTCTTCTCTCCCTCCTCTTCTTTCTTTCTGCATATGCCCCAGAAAAAAAGACAGAAAATAAAGAACACTAAAAAGAATGTGAGAAGCTCGGTAAGCAGATCTATCGATCGGAGATAGAAAATCAATCTCACACAATAGCCGGCCAGTTAGCTTCTCAGCCAGTTAGATTGATATAGCTACAGCCGCTTTGGCAACAAGGAGAAGGCCATTTTTTTAACACCTCCCCTTGGTACATGTAGCTTAGCTTAGACCTAAACAGTTCATATAACATACCATCCAACATAAATGACAGAAGATAATCAAAAGAAGGAGGACGGACAGACAGACCGACCCAGCAGAGAAAATTCGTGAAGTGTAGATAAAACCCTAGTGCTGAAGGCTGCTATTTATACGAAGAGATCTTGGTGGTGGTGGTGGTGGTGGTGGAAGAAGCATCTCGGCCGCCTAAAGATGTTATTCGATTCCTTCCTTTGTTTCCATTAAAAGGCCCATTGGATCTTTGCTTGGAATAGGTTGCCGGCCCACCTCTTATCTTTTACAGTCCCTTTTTGTCATACGTTGTACCTAAAGGATGTCCATGTGCAATCCCATCATTTTCTAGAAAATTAGTATCATTTAATAAATTCAATGCTCATATGATCCACGGCTTAAACTTTTGGAGGTAAACGCCTCGCAAATCGCCAAAGCTCATAGTTTTTATAGCTACTGTTTGTCATTGTGCTCTAAACAGGGTGAATAAATTTTTAATTTTTTATTTAAAATTAATTTTTTATATTTTTAAATTATTTTAATGAGTTAATATCAAAAATAATTTTTAAAAAATCATTATTATACTTTTAAATATATATTTGTATAATCTATTTGATAATAACTAAAAATAATTATAAATTTCAATAAATTATGTTTTATGAAATATATCTTCGTTTTTATTGGTATTTATGGATCAAAATCAAGCATGAACTTATCAATTAAATTATGTAAAAAAAATTGAATTAATCGAGTTTGTCATATTAATATTTCAATTTAATGAAAGATATAATTTAAAGAATTTAACAATTATATTAAAACCACCTACAAAACCTGACATGTCAGCATCTATTTCTAAAAAGAAAAACAAATCCAAAAAATCACCGATTAATATAAAAGTAAAAGTTCAAAGGCTATGATACTCCGTTCTAGAAAGTGCCCCAAAAGTAAAATACCCATACCCGAAAACCCGAGCCGGAAACTGAAAACCCATCTGTCCGTCCTCCCTGCCTATATTCGTTTCAAGAAAAATAAAGAGAGGAGGCAAGAAGTCAATTTCAAAGAGAAGAAATTTTTTTATATTTTTTTCCCTTTTAATCAACTCTAAAAGAAAAGAAAAGGCAGAGAAAAAGATTAATACTTAGTTTTGGAGTAGTGGGTGCGCGATCCGGCACCGATTTGAAAGCAGTAATGGAAGGAGTCGGGGCGCGGCTGGGGAGATCTTCGACTCGGTACGGGCCGGCCACGGTGTTCAGCGGGCCGGTTAGGAAGTGGAAGAAGAGATGGGTCCACGTAACCCCTCCGTCATCTTCATCAAACCATAACAACACTCACTCGCATCATCACCATCACGCTATTAGTAATGGCACTGCCGCTGCTAACAATTCAAGCTCTTCTAACGGTAATAATGGATCCCATCTCTTGCTTTATAAGTGGACACCGTTGTCTCAATCCAACGGTTCTTCTTCTCCTTCTCCTGCCACTAACAACAACGGTAACAGCAACAATGATGATAATAAAAACAATGCTAATCTCTCCAACGGCGACGCCCCCGATGAGCCTCCCAGGCGTAAATTCAAATACATTCCGGTACCTTCCCCCCCCTCCTTTTTGGTTTGGTTTCGACTGGGTTAATTATCTTATATTTTTTGGGATTTTGATTTTAGAAATTATTTGGGGTCGTGTGTAACTGGATTGGCCGATTTAGATCTGGGTTATGGATGAACAGTGGTTTTGTTTTGTAGTCAGAAGTAGAGATTTTGGAGTAAATTGTTAATGGGTTTTGTAAGAATGTTAGGATTTCATGAAATCGTGGGTCGGGCTTTTTGAAAGTTTTTATTTTTCTGCAGTTTTGTATTTTTGCTTGCTTGTTTTGATGTTTACTTGGGAAACTCTAAAGGATCTTTGAGTGAATAAGTCATCCCGATGATGATTTTGTAGTTATGCGAGGATGGTTTGGGGTAGATGGTGAGAAAGATTGCGACTTTAGTAGGATTTCAAAGTTGTAGTTCTCAATCACCCTAGGACAATTTGGACTTGGCGGTAAAAGATTTCTTCTTTAGTAGAATTTGTAGATTGTGATGTTGAGATACTTTAACCATGTGACATTGTTTCGAAGTTTATTTGAATTTGCTTTTAGGCTGCTTTCTATATTTTTCAGACATGTACTAGGGTATAGACTCCATTCTCATTCCATTGGTGGGTTTACAGCTAGTAATATTCTCCTGGTCCCAAGATGTTTTCCTTAGTCAGTTAGTTGTGAGGAGCATTACATTGTTGGATAGTGACAAGTACACTCCAGGTAGTCAGAGTTATAAAGACTTTCAAGGATGCATTTGATTAAACTTGAATGATTTTGATATGATTGGTTGTGTGGTAATCAGTACAGTTAGATTTTGGTTTAGATTCTAGATGGGTGCGACTGAGGCTGGCTTGATCAGCTGTGTTGTGTTTTGCGTGACCAAGTCCTTCTGAAGTCCATGTTCTTTAGCCATTAATGCTGTTGAATTTTGGCTGTTGACTTTTTACTTCTCTTTCATGCTTCATAATAACTCAGCATGGAAAGTAGAATAATGTTTAGCTGAAATGAATGCTTGAACAAAATCATGTTTATGCTGATCTTGTGTGTTTTCCATTTTTTTCATTCACTTAGTGCAATCAAAAGGGTAAACTAGGATTCTGGATAAACACTGGATAAACTAGAGGAAATGCTGGTGGTCCAAGTCATTCATCAGTGGATGCACTCAATGGTTCAATTGGCACTTGGGTTTGTCTGAGTTGCTAGCATATGTGTCAACTAACCTCAGGATATGTTCTTTTACTTTAAAGTGTATGCTACCCATGCCCTTGTTGGTGCTTTGTTGTCACTTCTTAATTTATTTGAATGCTTACAAGGACAAGGAGCTGGTCAAAAGGGTAAACTAGAATTCTGGATAAACACTGGATAAACTAAAGGAAGTGCTGGTGGTCCAAGTCATTCATCAGTGGATGCACTCAATGGTTCAATTGGAACTTGGGTTTGTCTGAGTTGCTAGCATATATCTCAACTAACCTCAGGATATGCTCTTTTACTTTAAAGTGTATGGTACCCATGCCCTTGTTGGTTCTTTGTTGTCACTTCTTAATTTGTTTGAATGCTTACAAGGACAAGGAGCTGGTAGATTCAGCTGTACAAATACCATTTTTTGGACAATACAGTTCAGCATCATAATCTCTATAAATGTAATCACCCTCATGTTCCAAGCTATGTTCAGCTAGGCTTTGGAAATTGGAATGTTTTGAAGTAATCAACAAAAGGCCTTCTTTGGAGAGATTTTTCAAGGCAGTTTTCTTGTCCTTATTGAATTGAATTGCTCTTATCCTTAAGAATAAAAGAAACTGAGAAACCGAGCTTGTAAATGATGATCTAGAGTGCCCAGAATTATTGCAGGTATGGACAAAGGAATGCTATAGATTTTTAAATCACAAGGCAGTGGCAAAAATTATTGTTCAATTCTGTCTATTGATTGTTTGGTCAGTTTGTGAATTAATGTTATAGCCTGTCAAGAACCTGCAACTTGACTTCCTAGTTTAAGTTTAAGTGGTGATAGATCATTAGTGGAATGTCAAGATATATGCATGACATTATCTACCTTACAAAAGTGATTCAATGGATCTGACACGGCGCACCTTAAAATTTTAAACACTATGGGTATCTTTAGAAGATTGAAGTAATCCAGTCTTACATCATATGTATAGGGCTACAAAACTATGCATCTTTAGAAACAAGCTCTATGCTCATCATTCTTCTAGCTTTCCAAGACGTGGTGCTTGCATGGTGGCATGAAGATGGTCCTACCACTCATTTTGAAACAGTTGCGTGGACAAAATTCTTGTCAGTTTTTCTTTTGTTCTGTTTGTTGCACACTATTAAAACATTGGTGTATTTGATGCTCATAAGGAGAGTGGTTTTTAATTGTTTGGTGGTTTGCTTGACCTATGGGCCAAGCAGTAACTGGGCTGAAGTTGTTGATAGAGATGCAGTGAAATGACATTTTGATAGGAGAGTTCAAGGTCTGGAAACTGTACTTTTTTTTACTATTTTTTTAATTCACCAAAGGAAAATATGAGAGGTTGTCTGGAAAATCTTCAAGGGTGGAAACTTCTGTTTTTGAGGGCTTTGTGTAAACTTGAGCACACTGTTGTGATACTTGAATTTCATTGGAAAGCTAAATGGAAGAGCAGAAGCTTCTTCGGGTAGTTTTTTTTTTTTTTGACGGAAGCTTATGGATCTTTGTGCATGGAACCATAGATTTCCATTGTGTTATGGCGGAACCAGTTGGTTAGGAGCTTTTGGTGCCTGGGAACTTTTGGATTTATGTGCTCTTACATATCAAGATGTGGAAAATTGGTATGGCGAAAGACAGTGGGGACTAAAGGGTAAGAGCCCTTGGCAAGTATACTGTTAAGCGGCAGAAGTAATTTAGCAAAAACTGGTGGAAGGGTTTGGTTCCTAGCAAAAATTAGTGTGATGGGTCCAAGTTTTGTTTCAAAAGCTTAGTGATTAATAATCAAATGGTCAAAATTCAAGAGATATTGGTGTGTCTTACTGTAGAAAATTGTTTGGTGGTGTGGGTGTTTTTTTTTTTTTTTTTTTTGGGGGGGGGGGGGGTTGGTTTTGGTGGGGGGTGGGTTGTTGATGAAACCAGGTTAATTCAGATTAGTTTGGAATGAAACCTGTTACTAATTTTTGTTTCCCATGATTAATCATCATGATAACACTACTTTGTAAAAGAGCTCTACTTCCTCTGGCTTCTTCATGGAAAAATTCTTTTTTTGAAAAAGCCAGAAAATGGATTTATGCTTTGATGATGAGGTCCATTCAAGTATTAGTTTACATTTGTGTTGTTAACTTAGCTTATTGTCTATTATTTTGGCTGTTCGACAACGCAGGTTGATCTGCTAGAGAAACAGAAGAAAGAGGCTGAAGAACAAGAGGCCTTAGAAAAGGTTGATGATGAATCTAAACTGTATGATACTGACCCTAAAGCAGAACTAGTTTCGAAGAGTGACAGTGCTGAAGAAAAACCTGACATAAATGATATACCCATGGAAGAAAATGAGGTGAATTGGCGTATGAATTTCTTTTCTTACTTACAATCCATATAATCTATCTTGTTTGAAAAGTCCATATCGCCTTCTTGACACCCGTAGTTTACTTAGCTTTGAGTTTCTAATTGCAAATTTTCATCTAATTTTGGCTCAAACATTTACTCCATTCTCAGGATGATAATCAAGTGGTACGACAAGATCTGAATGAAAGCACTTTGGATTTGAGTTTAGGCTTGGTCTCTTGACAGCGATTCTGATTCAAAAGCAGGTCTGTCCAGAGATGTGAAGTTGAAAAGGGTTAAATTGAGTAGTATTGGTACTTTGCGGAATCCTTTCTTCAGATTATTTGACATATAGGATCTATGAAAATGGTCTATTTGTTGGAGAGACAATTTCCCCAATGATCTATTTGCTTACTAGTTACCGAGGGCAGGTGTGTCAGTGGCAAAAAGCTTGTACCTTTGTAGCTCTCTACTGAGCTGATTGCAACTTGTACCGATTGCGACATCTATTTTTTAATCATTGAATTACTGAATTTTTCCCTTTTGTTTTCGTTTTTTTTCTTTTTTCCTGGTTATCTTGCAGATGGTTGGATCTTTATGTTGTAAACATAATTCATTACTTTTCTAAGCTTTGATGTACCATGTTAGGATTGATATCTGTGAATCAGTTGGTGTCTGATTTCTTGACCAACAATTCGAATGCTATCTGTGAAGCTGCTTGTTAAAATTTGGATTGATGCAATACTGATGCATGCAGATGGTCTGCATTTATAAAAACCTACTGGTGTATATTTATTATAGTCTTACTTCGAAGGATAAAGATCATGATTGCATACAATGTATGCTCTTCGAACCTATGGAGCTCGAGGGACAATAAAAATGGAAGATTCGAAAGCCATTTACTAAGTGAAATTTTACAGTGGTTCACACTGTTATAAACTGCAAATTATTAACTCAAGGGGAATGAGCACGGTGAACACTTGTAGCTTGAAAAGCACAACAACAATCTTGATCGACGTGATGAACTGCAAATTATTAACTAAAGGGGAAATGAGCATAGGTGAACACTTTAGCTTGAAAAGCACAACAACAATTGCCATATTCAAATCATAACTATCCAAAGCCTTGCAAGAAGGAAGAATGACTTCATTACAGGAGGATCAAAGAGAACAGCAGGTTTTCATCATTATTCCTTTGCAACAGCAGCTTCTTCCTCAGAAAAGTAATCGTGCCTGGAGATGTAGAAGTGATTAAAAATCTGTACAGCTAGCGCCATGGCCAATAACAGTAGTGAAAAATGTGGACAAGAGTACAGCAAGAGAATCATGGATGATTCAACATATCAGGATGAGCTATCCGTGGCAATAATGGAAGTAGAGAGAAAGAACCTAACTTTCTACTGCCAAGATTCCATAAGAAGATGCACAACAATTTAAGAAAAACTTACTGTATCTTGCGACTGAGTTGGTAGATGCCTGTTGCAGCCATTGCAACATTTACACTAAATAGATTCCAATTTTTCTGCAATATGGAGCAAAAAAAAGGAAAAGGTTAAAATCAAAATCAACTAAAATTTACAACCAACATAATAGCATGCAAACATGACCATGCAAGGACCCACACCAGTCTACGTGCAAGCACAAATCCTATCTTAAATGTTTGTAAGAAGTTCAGGGATAGCAACCAAAACAGAGATTCTTTTCCTTGATATGATACTAAAGAAGGAAGTGCAAGAGCAGATACACCATGCCCTTTCTTTTTCTTATTTTCCAGTTCCCTTCTCTGTGTTGGTTCAGCATCAAATCATGCACCTAGGAGAATGAGAATGTGTATACACTATTCCTTATTACTTTTCTTTTCTTTTCTTTCTCTCTCTCCAAGTAGCAAATTCCACTGCAAACCTTCTTTGTTTTCGTATTTTTTTTCTGTTTTTCCTGGTTATCTTGAAGATAGTTGGATCTTTATGTTGTAAACATAATCATTACTTTTCTAAACTTCGATGTACCATGTTAGGATTGATCTGTGAATCAGTTGGTGTCTGATTTCTTGACCAACAATTCGAATGCTATCTGTTAAGCTGCTTGTTAAAATTTGGATTGATGCATGCAGATGGTCTGCATTTATAAAAACCTACTGGTGTATATTTATTATAGTCTTGCTTCGAAGGATAAAGATCATGATTGCATACAATGTATGCTCTTCGAACCTATGGAGCTCGAGGGACAATAAAAATGGAAGATTCGAAAGCCATTTACTAAGTGAAATTTTACAGTGGTTCACACTGTTATAAACTGCAAATTATTAACTCAAGGGGAACGAGCACGGTGAACACTTGTAGCTTGAAAAGCACAACAACAATCTTGATCGAACTGCAAATTATTAGCTAAAGGGGAAATGAGCAAAGTTGAACACTTAAGCTTGAAAAGCACAGCAATTGCCATATTCAAATCATAACTATCCAAAGCCTTGCAAGAAGGAAGAATGACTTCATTACAGGAGGATCAAAGAGAACAGCAGGTTTTCATCATTATTCCTTTGCAACAGCAGCTTCTTCCTCAGAAAAGTAATCGTGCCTGGAGATGTAGAAGTGATTAAAAATCTGTACAGCTAGCGCCATGGCCAATAACAGTAGTGAAAAATGTGGACAAGAGTACAGCAAGAGAATCATGGATGATTCAACATATCAGGATGAGCTATCCGTGGCAATAATGGAAGTAGAGAGAAAGAACCTAACTTTCTACTGCCAAGATTCCATAAGAAGATGCACAACAATTTAAGAAAAACTTACTGTATCTTGCGACTGAGTTGGTAGATGCCTGTTGCAGCCATTGCAACATTTACACTAAATAGATTCCAATTTTTCTGCAATATGGAGCAAAAAAAAGGAAAAGGTTAAAATCAAAATCAACTAAAATTTACAACCAACATAATAGCATGCAAACATGACCATGCAAGGACCCACACCAGTCTACGTGCAAGCACAAATCCTATCTTACATGTTTGCAAGAAGTTCAGGGATAGCAACCAAAACACAGATTCTTTTCCTTGACATGATACTAAAGAAGGAAGAACAAAAGCAGATACACCATGCCCTTTCTTTTTCTTATTTTCCAGTTCCCTTCTCTGTGTTGGTTCAGCATCAAATCATGCACCTAGGAGAATGAGAATGTGTATACACTATTCCTTATTACTTTTCTTTTCTTTTCTTTCTCTCTCTCCAAGTAGCAAATTCCACTGCAAACAAATATTTGATCACAATATACATAGAAATGGGAAATTCGCAACTGCTAACAAATTTTCAATTTCAGATAAGTAATACGCACAAGTGTTACTATTATTCCTATGAGATGAGAACTAGAATCGCATGATCCAATGACTTGCCCCAACTTATCTCTCGTTTCCCTAATGTTGATGGGAATTCATTCATCAAACCAAATCAAGTTCCAGTGACTGCTCACCAAATAATACCACAATTTTCATTTAATTTATGGAGGAAAATTCCCCATGTTTTCTAAATAAGAAACTCACCGGATCACTAAAAGGTAGCCTATCCATCATTCCACGGCACGAATCCAATTAAAATGACTAATAAAATTCAACCTTTTCCAATGAAAGCTTCTCTAGCAGGTTATCTTATAGAAGAGAAAATACACATGATCCACATACTCTCGTAAAAGAGCAAATACATATGATCAGGCTATACAAACAGTAATCACTGGTTACTAGTATAACATTTCATCCATTACTCCACCAAAATTCAGAATGCACTCATCATCTTACCTAAAATCAGCAACTAGAACACTTATATCATTCGGATCTAAATCTAAACTGCTAAAGCTAGAAACACCCAACATACAAATCAAACACGCAAAAGACAGGCATAACAAAAAAAAAAGACCAAGTGGTTCTCAAAACTTACTGGTGTAATTACAGTACTGTAGCGCGACCATATAACTCCAGTACAAGTGACCGCTGGAAAACAACCAAATGACAAAAGTGAGAGTAAAATAGAGGAATACAATATTATCAGTATCGAATCAGGCAGCAGAAGAATAAGCTTCTGCTCTCAACGTGATTCAACATGATACGCGTGATAGGTAGAGACAGCTATAGGCTTGCCTACACTAAAAATGTACAACAACATACATGGAATATGAGTGCATAAAATATGAAAGAGACAAAGCCATGGATGGATGGGTACTTTACCTATTTGCTGAGGGTAGGAAAGTTTTTCCGGAGGTTTAGCGAAGTCAGCAATATTGGCAATGCTAATACCCCATTTAAAAGTAGGTGCCCAAAAATGAACTGCAAAAACCAACCCAACAAACAATATTAATTGAAATCAAAATCAAACAGCATCCTCGCCAGCCAATATATTCAGAGACTTAAAAACACATTCTTTTAGCTTATATATATTAATAATACCAATATACCGCAACAGGAGTCGATGGCTTATGCAGTTTATAAGCTATAGGTACCACCTATCTACTCAGGACAAAACCCATCACGAGGCTGCAAGCCAAACTTGAGATAATCCCTCTTGATGAAAAGCCATTAAGCTGATTTGGGCCATCATATTATAGCCGTTCCCGGATTAAAATAAATAATGGGATGGAAATCAATCCAATATTTATCAAAATAATTCTAAGAAAACAGAGAAGATTGATAAAATTAAAAAAATACGGAGGAGTGATATTAAAAGAATTAAATTGGATTGTTTAACGTAAAGAACACACAAATCTGAATCCAATCTTATCGCAGGTGATAAAATTTTTAGTCGCGGATCGGATCGGATCGGATGAAATTCTGAATATAAGCTTGGAATGTACAATTCAGCAAAAGAAAAGAATAGTTTTTTAGCAAAGGAAAACTGACTGGTTTTGGGACCGGCTGGGGGATTCCACAGAGCTTGTAGCTTCGATGTCGCCATGGATGAAGCCGTCAATAACCCTACCCTAGCTACCGAAGTGGAGAGAAGACGAGGAGAGGTGACAGAGATTCGGTGTCGGTCGCCCTTGCCCGTTCAGTGGCTTGCCCTCCTATATCTTGCTGGCGTCTCCGCAATCGTTTCGTGGTGTGTGGCCACACGATGACCCTCTTAATAATTAATAATTAACAAATAATAATTAATAAATTAGCATTAACAAAAATTTGAAAAAAACTAAAATAATATTTATTTATTTTTAGAAATCACTATGTTGGTAATTCACAGTTTGTTCGCGGTATTATTAATATCATTTTTGTTGTTGAATATTTTTCGCTGTTTATTAATTATTATTATTATCATTTTTTTGTTGATTATAGGTTCGTCTAAAAAAATATAAAAACAAGGACAAAAATTAATAGCATATCTTCTATATATTTTTATATTCAAGAGGTTTGCCTTTTTACAATTTCATTCTTTTTTCTTAAAAAACTTACATTTTATTCATCAAAACTTTATTTTTTAAAATTTTAGTCCCTAAATTACAAGAGAGGAGAAAAAATTTATGTATCTGATTTTTTTTAATATCATTTTAAAAACAATTTCAATTACCAAACGCATGTAATTAGATTGTCTCTTCAATCTTTATGAGCTCCTATGACTTTGAATTAAGAAATTAAGTTTTTGTTTTTTTTAGACTTCAAACTCTATTTGCCTCTGTTTACATGAACCTTGGCTAGCAACTATGGTTGAAATTTGATCTATTCTTTTTTCTAAGACTTCAAACTTTATTTGCTTGTCTTAGTTCAAAATAAGAATATGATCATAAGGAGTTTAGAATTTAGACATTACTAAACATGACGATGGCACACTTAAAAATAAAATAAAATAAAAAATTAAGCTATCAATTCAAGAGCAACCCAAACTATTGCCTCTTCTTTTTTATCATGTTTTGACCTAAAAAATTTATTTGAGTCTCAACTTATTACTATGAAAAATTCTCAACTACATACACATATTTTAATATATATTTTTATTAGTATTGATAAATAAAAGCAGACACTCGCTAAATTTTTTTAAGTATAACAAAGTTAAATGTTACTATCACTTATATTTCCAACTATCATGACATGATATAATTATCAATAGCTATCATGACAAATCAATGATTTTTTCTATATAAAAAGCACTATATAGCATTAAAAATACTATTTTTTCATTAAATGAATTCCTAGCTTCACAACTAATAGTGAGTATCAATTTTTTTATATAAATAATATAATATTTTTTTATAAAAAAAATTTAAACATCGAGTATATAAATACACTAATAGCCACTATGAACATATCTTAAAACAAGAGACTAACTATCATATAACAATACCAACAATCATAAGAAACTATATGTTTGTAACAATACTAATAACCATACGAAACTTACACTAAATCCAAAAATAAACGACCATATAACAATTTTAGAATTAATCATACTACAACATAAGAAACCTCAAATAGAATATAACTATGAATAATCTCATAAGTTCAGCAAAACACAAAACATTTACATATATATTTTTTTATCATTTTTTACTTTTATGTATATTTTTTTCATTTTATATTTTATTAATTTAAATATAAAACTTGTTTTGTAGTGGTAAACTCAATTGCTTCAGTAATCTAAGACTACAATTTATAAAAAACCTAATTCATTTTACATTTTCATCATGCAACCTCGTTATCTAAAATGAGAAGAGATTGATTCTTTTGAAAATAGAAAAAAATTGCTCATGAGGATTATTTTTATTATACAAAAATCCAATTACTAGCCTACATGATTATAAAATTCAATTCAGTTTGGTAGATTAATTTGAAATTCAAATAATTTTATTTATGTTTTAAATAGATAAAATTTAAACTTGTAATTAGCTTTGGTTAAATCTAAATGACATGCCAAGTCAATCCAAAATCCAAATAAAATATATCTTTTACTTTTTACATCTATAAACATATAAATTATAAAATTAATTTATTAATACATAGTAATGTGAGATAGCTATATATACAACTTATAGCTATATGAAATGTTTTTTACCTTTTTTATGTGAGATAGTGTGTGTATATATATATATATATTGTTTTTTTTAATTTTGTATGTAAAATAATTATATATAATTTAGATTTATATAAATTATTTTTTACTTTTTTATATAAAATATTAAAATTTCAAATATTTTAATTTTTAATTTTTTTTAATTGACCTGAAACACAGCTTCTTAGCCAGAAGAACCTCGGCTGGGTTGGATAACCATGCTGAAATCAGTTAAAACTTTTAATTACATACCATCTTTATTTCATTTATAACTAAACCCATAAAATTGGGAAATAATAAATACGTTGAGAAAACAGGTTCGGTTTGGTTTTGGCAAAACAAAAATATAAGAAGGGAGTCACCATGGAAGACCAAAAACAATGCATCAGGTTCTGCTCACACTCACAGCAAGAAGAAGGCCAATTGCAATCTTTTCATTAACCCTCCTCTTGAGCACCGCCATCTTCATATCATCAGTTTTCTTGCAGCCAAAAAACCCTCCTCCTCCTCCTCCTTCTTCTTCTCAAAAACAGCAATCCATGGCTGCTGCTCGTAGTTTTGTACTATGGCTTCATGGATTGGGTGACTCAGGCCCTGCCAATGAGCCCATCAAGGCCCTCTTCACTTCTCCTGAATTTCGTACCACCAAATGGTCTTTCCCTTCTGCTCCTATTGCCCCTGTCTCCTGCAACTGTAAGCCCCAAGCCATATCCTTCCATATATTGTAACAATGTTTCTGTTTTTGTTGTTTTTTCTAATGATCTTGTTCATTTAGTGCTATTAATTATAGGTTTTATGCCAAATTTAGTTTAAGTTTTTTTTCCTTGTCTTTAAATCAGTGAATCTTTGTTTAGGGTTCTGAATGAAATTTCTAGTTATGTGGGACTTGTTGTTATGGGTGTGATTTATGGGTTTTATATATTTTTCCATCTTACGCATTGGTTTGCTCGTCAATTTTGATTGATCCCTTTTTGTGAATCCACTGAATGTAGGCTCTACCTATCGCTGATAGTGTTTGTATTTTGTGGACTGTTAATGGAAGAGAATAAATGGTCAATTACATCTGGATGACAACAAGATTAGATCGATGTTTTAAAATAGAGCATGTTAGCATTGTGAATATTGGTTATGAAGATAGAATTTTTATGAGGATTGACAAGGAGTTGAAGTTCAAAAGCTGGAGATTTGATGCCTTTTAGTTCATTTATGAGCTGTTATTTTGGCGGTAAGGAAGAGAGAGTGTAAAATGAAGCTAACAAGTGTGGGAAAGGAGATCTTGAGAAGCCTATTTTGTTGCTCTGAGTTTTCAATAGTGTACAAGATTCATTAATTTTGGAATTTGAGACCGCGTAGGACATTGAATCAGTGGATAAAATGCAGCGATTTACCTTAAACAAAACCAATTTAATGGCACGATTCTCTAAGAGTTTAAGAAAAGCACACCATGAGGGATTTCATGGAGGTCTTTCCCTTGTTTCTTTTTTACTCTGTTCTGTTGCAGTTCATCTGTTTTATGATTGTTCATGCCAATTATAAAGCTTATCACTTTATGGTATTGCTTCATTTATGCTTACGTACCTCATTTTTATGTGACTCTTTGTTGTTTTTTTTAACGATCTTGTTAATTTCAGTGCCTTAAGTTAAAGTGTAATGATTCCATTTAGTTCAGATAATTGAGGAGGTGATGTGTTTGATTCATTTAATCTCCGACTGATGATCTGGACAAATTTTCTAGTTAGATTAGCCGGTCATTGTTGTGGGTGTAGTACAGGGTTTTCTGTATTCTCAGGAATTGATTTGCTTTTTCATGGTTCCCTCGTTGTGTGTAGTCATTGAATAATATTTTCATAGGGCTCAATATGAGAAAAATTCTCTGATCTTTGTGTGTATGTATAAAATTGTTGGAAATAGCTGTTGCACTGTTTGTTCAAAATGGTCAGACTGATCATGGAAGAGAGCCAACTGATCGATCACTTCTCAATTGATGCTTAAACCCTGCTTGATACCAGTTGCTTATTGATTAGGAATGATCTTAGAGTGAATGTTGCAATATACAGTTTGTTAGCACCGTGAATATTGATTAATTAATAATGGTAAGAGTTTGGTGGGGATGTGACAAGGATGAGAAGTGAAAAGGCTGGAAATTTCATGTCTTTATCAACTATTTTATAAATTGTTATTTTAATGGTAACAAACAGAAAAGAATTAGTGAAAAAGGATATCACTGTGAAGATCTTTACACAGGACATTGGATGAGATAGTTTGCTGTCATTTCCCTGAAACAAATTAAATCAGTGGCAGAAGTGGGTTGAATATCATAGCATGTGGTACTTTCTGTGTTTTTCTTTCAGTTGCTCTATTTTTCTTACTATTTATCTGTTTTATGATTCATTAAGGGTTGAATATCATAGCATGTGGTGCTTTCTGTGTATTTCTTTCAGTTGCTCTGTTTTTCTTACTATTTATCTGTTTTATGATTGTTCAAACCAATTTGGTGGACTATCACTTTTGAATATTGATTTATTTTTTAATTGTTTCCATTCAGTTTAATCTTTATAATCCCTCCTTTGTTTTTTTGGGTGGGGCAGGTTTTTACATAATTATAGAGTTCCAGACCATGTTTATCCTCCTAATTTCCTTCTTTTGGGTGTGTTCTTCTGGTTGCTTGATGGATCCTATCCTCCCTTCTTTTCAAAATTTTTAAGTTCTGGTCTTATATACCAATAGATTTGGCATGAGCTCATTCTGTGTGCGACCTTATAATTTGTTTTTAGCTGTAAGATATTTTGAATTTTTTTCTCCATGTAATCCATTGCTTTACTAATTAGTTTGTGATTTGTCCTTGTAGATGGTGCTAAAATGCCATCATGGTTTGACATCCATGAGATTCCTGTGACAGCTGTAAGTAAAGCTTTGTTACTTCTTTTCAGATTGTTCTCTTCGGACCTCTTGATCCCAATTCACCTATTCTAATCTCATGACATTAAACTATATCATTGACGCCTATTTTGTAATTTCAACTTTTGCTGGAAATAAAATGGTGCTCGCAAGGGATTCATTGTTAATTCTTCTGTTTGGATATTTATTTTCCTTGATATCTGCAAATTTCTTAGCATAGCCAAATCCTTTTTCCACCTGTTCTTGTTCTTTGGCTCACCAGCCAACTCTCTCCATCTTTTCCTGAAGAGTCTGACAAACCTTTTTGTCTAGCCATTTCAGCGAGAAGTTTGTGTAATCTTGCTTCATGGTGTTTCGACATCAATTTTTTATTGTTCACAATCCATTATTATCTTAATCTTCTGATATTATCTTAATCTTCTGATACAGAAAGAATAGACCAGTTATATTTTGAATATTGTAGCTGGAGTTTGATTGAATTGTTAACCTTGACTAGCACGTACTATATCACTGGTTTCTTTGTTTGTTTCAGTTTTAAAATATCTAATTTTGTGTTGAAATAAAATATTCGCAGAGGACCTAGCTATGGAATAAGCTTTGCAAGTCTCATGCGATGTTGAGTGATAAAGAAACATATTTGTCATTTTTTGGTTCAAATCTTGAGATGGTCCCACCAGTATTTTCCTCAAACATCCAAGATGTTGGATGCTTTTGATGCCAGATCTTGTTTAGTTAGTTTGTTTTGCTGACTTGCTCCAGGATTCTCCAAAAGATGAAAGTAGTTTGTTGAAAGCTGTTCAGCATGTGCATGCAATGATAGACAAGGAAATAGCTGCAGGGACAAATCCTGAGAATGTGTTTGTGTGTGGATTCAGCCAAGGAGGTCTCTTTCTATCCCTCAAACCCACACAACTTTGAAAATTGATCTCTCTTTTTTTCCTATTTTTCAGGACCTCCCGATATCTAACAACTTCTTACAGGTGCATTGACCTTGTCCAGTATTCTGCTGTACCCAAAAACTCTAGGAGGTGGAGCCGTCTTCAGTGGATGGGTTCCTTTTAATTCTTCTATCATGCAACAGGTTTCACCAGATGCAAAGAGGGTACGTCTTGCTAAAGACAAATGCTTTCTAATCTTAGAGTGGGAGCATGTTGATTCCCCAGTATTTTATTCGAAGATAGTTTCCTCCGCTGTCTTCATGTTTCCGTGGTAGCCAGCTATGTTGTTCTTTCATAGTTGTATCCATTTATCATTCTCCAAGTGATTTACTTGTAACAAGAATATCACTTCTTGGATTTCATGAGATTGATCTATGGTTTAACTTTGTGCAGACACCTATTCTGTGGTTACATGGAATGGCTGACGCAACAGTATTGTTTGAAGCTGGACAAGCAGGCCCCCCTTTGCTTGAAGAAGCTGGTATAAGCTGCGAGTTTAAGGTGATACATCTTGTTCTCTCAAAACAATTTCATTTTTTTACCATTCAATGTATGAAACCTGCCGACAATCTGCACTTGTGCAGGCTTATCCTGGTCTTGGCCATTCAATAAACAATGCAGAGTTGAAATACCTGGAATCATGGATCAAGACTCGCCTGCCAAGTTCTTCTTAGAGTTTTGGGTACTGTTGAACATGCATAAGCTTCATGTCATAGCTCTAGGTTATGTGGTAGAATCTATCACATATACAGGGGGGACAAATATTCAGATATTATTATGCGCGTTGTGGGGGGGGGGGCAAATATTCAGATATTATTATGCGCGTTGTGGTAAAATGATTCCAGTGTCAAGCATTCAACTGCTGAAATATTGTGAGCATTGTCATATACTGGTGGTGGATGCTGTATTTCTACAAACTCTTCTGCCCTCGACATTTGGTTTGCGAGGTCATAAAATAAAATGGTAACTCTGTATGCTTTATCCACTTCATGGAAATGCAAGGAAATGGTTTGAATTAAATCATGCTCCACTTATTGAGCCGTGTTAATACAATTCTGCTCGGGGATGGACAAGCACTGGAGGCAGGAGGAAATTGCTAAGCTGGCCGCTATTTGGAGCTTGCGGTTAAACTGTCACAGCTGAAGACTGTGGGGCCTGTGGGTGAGCAAAAGGTGAAGGGCCCGTGAATACACTTTCGAACTTGTGTGCCTATCTTCCAAGACATGGCTGTGATCAATTTCATGGAAGCAAAGATGTGACCCAGTGCTTGTTACAAGGGAATACAGCATAATTTTTTTTCAACATTATCAATCGTCCCAAGAAGTTCACCCGGTGAAATTCGAGTTTTTCTCAACAATAATAATGGAGAAAGAAGAGAAAAGAAAATGAAAGAAAAAAATGACAAACTAGAGATACATGAGAATTCAAATGATGACACTTCTAATAATTTTTAAAATATTTTGATAAGATAAATTTATAAACATTAAAAAAAAAAAACTTCAGAGTTGGAAATGATTTACATGTGTCATTTAAAGATGATGATATTGGTGATATTCTTACCTAACCTATCACCACATATAATACATATGTTAAATATAAGTTTTTGATGTGCTGATGAATATAAAAATTGTGATGGGCATGTGTTATAGCTATCATATATAAAAAAATTTAGAAAAAAAATATCATGTTAGAGACTCTTGTATTATATGCAACCAATTAAATTATGAGAATTTAAAAATTATTTTTTTAATTATAGAAAAGAACTTAGATATATTATATACAACTTATTAAATTAAATTGTTCTAGTTTAGAAATTATTTTTTAAAACTGTGAAAAAAGAAATAATGTAAGACTTGCATGTATTATATAATATTATATACGTTTTTTTAAAACTGTGAAAAAAAAAATAATGTAAGACTTGCATGTATTATATACGTTTAGAAATTATTTCTTTAACTAAGAAAATAAATAAATATGCAATGTGGTATTGTTGGGGAAAATTCTTGAAATAGCCCTAATGGACAATCAATTCCACCACCCCTTCAACTGAAAAGCTGCGTCTGAAGAGGGGCAGTTTAGTGACTAGACAGGAACCAAAGACTAAACATGACTTTAGGTTCCGTAACATCAGTACTTACTTTTCTGTAATGTGATTCTCTCTAACCCAGGTAAACTGCATACCGTACTTCTTATTTTTGAATATATTTTATTTTAAAAAATATTAAATTAATTCTTTTATAATTTTAATAGATTTATATTAAAAATAAAAAATATTTTAATACTCTTTTAAATAAAAAAAGACTCGCAATAACAAATACATGAATCACAGCGTTGCCAACACAAGGTATTTTCAAAACATTTGAATTTTTTTTGTTTTAGGTTAATTCTTTTTGGTATTTTAAATTATTTTGATATATTAATAAAATAAAAAATATTTTAATACTCTTTTAAATAAAAAAGAATCGCAATAACAAATACATGAATCACAGCGTTGCCAACGTATTTTAAATTATTTTGATATATTAATATTATAAAATAAAAAAATATTTTAATATATTTTTTAAAAAAAAAAACTATAACAGAGTGTGAGAGTGTTTGCCATTTGCCACACATATACTCTGCCCTCACATGTATGATATGGCATCTTCTTCATCGAACTTTCAAAGTCTTTAACTTCCAGTCTTTGCCTCTGTTAGATAGCCCTCTACTATCCCCTTCTCCCTCCCTCCCTCCCTCCCTCTCTTTACAGCATCTACCCAGAGTATCAAGCATGAAGAAGCTATACCGTAAAGGCACGGTGCATCCATCGCCGCCAATAATATCAGACCATCTGTCCTTTCTTCCGGCCACCATCCTAACCCTCACAGCAGCTCTTTCTCCAGAGGACAGAGAGGTGTTGGCCTATCTTATCTCCTGCTCAAGCAATAACAATATCCTCTGCAGCAACTGGTCCTATATGAATAGCCGCAAGAGTAGCTCTCGCCAAAAGACAACTTCTTACACCAAGAACAGCAGCAGCAGCAATAATGACCATCCTCCTATGTTCAACTGTGACTGTTTTAGGTGTTACATGATTTACTGGATTAGATGGGACTCGTCTCCTAATCGACAGCTCATTCATGAGATTATTGATGCTTTTGAGGATTGGTGGTTGTTGAAACAAGGAAGGAGTGGTTCTTCAAGCGGCAAAAAGAACAAGAAAGACAGGAAAAGGAAGGGAAATAGCCAAGGGTCTGGTGAGTTAATCAAGGGGGCAGAGTTGAGAATGAAGCACAGGATGGACGAGTCTAATTCAGTGGATGAAAATAGAAGCGCCGGGGGTGGGGGTGAAGTTGCTGCTACTGCTGCTGGTGGTGGTGGTGGTGAAGAAGAAGTGACAGATAAAGGGTCCGTCAGGAGGTTTGTGAGCTTCATCGGGGAGAGGATTTGGGGTGTTTTGGGCTAGTGAATTAGATGGAACCAGGAAAGGAAGAGAGCTGGTGGGTTTAATTTGTTGTATAACCTGCAGGCTACTACTTTTCTGGCGTTTCGCTATAAGATCATAAAGGGAAGGATTTTCTTCTTGTTTTCTTCTTCTTCTTTTTTTTTTTTGTTTTTTTTTTTTAATCTTCCTTGTTTAATATCTTGAATCATTATCAATTTTGATGTTTTTTCTAGCAGATTTTATATGATCTCTTTAGCTAGGTAAGATAATCTATGAATAGCATTAAAATTAAAATCTATCAAAAAAATATTTTACATAACTTGATGATTTGTATGATCTAAGTTAGGTGTTTGTTCTCTTTCTCATTAGAGTAGTAAATTTTGTTTGATAAATGAATAATATTAATCTTGGAATATTTCACTGCTTTAGCAAACATTCAAGGATTTGGTAAGGGAAAAATCAAGAATATTTAATGTTGGAGCATCAATGATTACTCAATTATGTTTGGATGTTTGGTAGGGTTGTTGAAAATAATTTTTGTTTGAAAAAAATTATAAATTAATGTTTTTTAAGTAGGGTTTTTTTTATATAATTTTAAGTAATGAGAATATAAAATAAATACTTAAATCATGTAGAATATTTTGAGAAGTATTTTAGAAATAATTGAATCACAATCTCAAAGGGCAGAATTTTGTTTTATTTTAATACTATTCAAACCTTTATATCAAATTAAAGCTTTCTACAATAACTTTTCACAATATAAAGAATACTTAAATTATCAATTCAAATAATTCTTTTTAAACCCATATTATTGCTTAGTTATTGAATCGAGATATAAAAAAATAAAATAGAAATGACTTATTTCTATATACTTTTATTTTAAAAATTCAATACTAGAGGTTATTTTAGAAATAGAATTGTTTATACAAATCAAATACATTTCTGTATTTTCTAGAATTAAATGCAACCTAGTGTTTCGTTTTCTGCAAAAAAATGGGAAGCAAACCCATGAAATTAAGGTTAGAGAGGGATGGCCAAACATGGTTTCCAATTTTAGAACTCGAGTGCATGACATAGCATGGCAGAAATGGCAGGACAAGGGTGATCACGGAGGTCACTAGAAGCATCGCTATCGCACAATTAGTGAGGAGAGAGCGAGCAACCTCCACTTCGGCGGGGGGGGGGGGGGTTGTGGCGGTGGGAGCGGTGATGTTTGTGGTGGAAATGAAAGGGAATAGATATAGGTGTCATCACTTATCGAGGTCGGCAAAAGCAGGCACAAGAATAATAAAATGCCTCGATTAAAGCAAAGGTGGTTGCATGTTCTCTTGCATAATGGCAAAAATGGGTGGTGTTGCAAGTGAGGTTCTATCGGTGAAAAGGGTTTATTTTTTTTTTATATATTTGAGTTCGAACCGTATCCTGTTATTTCCGCGATGTCTTACTTGTTTATTGAACTTGTAGAATGTTCAGTAGGTCGTGGAGATTAGTCGTGGTGCGTGTAAGCTGACCCAGACACTCCACATAAAAAAAAAAATGGATGGTGTTTGTCATTTTAGTTGAACTGTATTTAAAAAATATATATATTTTAAATTATTTATTTATATTGTTTTGATATGATACTGTTAAATATAAATTTTAAAAAATATTATTTTAATATATTTTTAAATAAAAAAAACATAAAACCACCTTAGTTTTTTAAAAAGATGAATTTCCCAACAAAAAAGGGGAAGGAAACTAGGCCAGGCCACCCCAATCCACTGTTCTTGTCCCCGCTGCAGTCCAGATATCTTTTCGTTGCTGCATATATGGCCACTGGCATCTATTCTTTAATGCAGAGTTTGTTTTTTCTGTTAAAGTTATATTTTAGTGTATTTTAAAAATATATTTTGTTTGGAAAAAAATATTAAATCAATATTTTTTCAATGAATTTTATAAATAAATATAACAATTATTAAAATATATTTTTAAATAAAAAACAAATTAACTCAAACTTATTATAAAATAACTTATTTGAGGTTTTTATTTATTTATTTTAAATGATATTATTTTAGATAAAAAATAGAATTAATTTAAAATAATATTATTTGGGTTTAACCGAGTTGCACATTAACTCATCAATCATTCACAGAGTTATTTCTTAATTTATTTGAAATAAATTTGATTGAGTTAGGTGTTGGGTTATTAAATCAATCAGACTTTGTTTAATATATATGATGTAATCTTTGTAAAGAAAGAAAAAAAAAAAGTATTTGAACTCGAAGCCGTGGGTGCAAGGGGAGATTCTCTCGTAATCTTCGGATAACCAGAAAGAAAGTGAAGTGAAGTGAAGTGAAGTGCTGTCTTAACGAGAAGGTTATGTCAATGTCAGTTGGAAGAGTTATTTCTTAATTTATTTGAAATAAATTTGATTGAGTTAGGTGTTGGGTTATTAAATCAATCAGACTTTGTTTAAGTGCTTGCCGAGTTTCGATATGATCACCCCTTTTTTTATGTTTTTTGACGAGCCCTTTTTTTTTATATATATATATATAAAGTTCTTTCAATAAAAATATATTTCATACATAAAAATTAAATTCAAAACCTTATTTTTTAAAAATAAACAACAAACTACTTGAACTAATCATTGTTAATTTATTATATAGCATTTAATTATCAATATCAAAGTTATTAAACCAAATATAAAGATAAAGTTAATATAAAGTTCAGATTATAGATAGAATAGATTAACACCAAGTCAATAAAAAAAGTTAAATAGATTATGACTAGGCTGATCAAGTTAATTCTTAATTAATTTTGTAACACTCAATCTAAAATAAAAGAAGATCCTATGTTTATCTATAACAAATGATTATTGTAATGAGTGTGTATTTCATACCATATTTGATGCATCATGTATTATCCACTATTTTAGAGTATAGTAATTTATGCTTTTGAATATATTTTAAAATATGTTTTATTTTAAAAAATATCAAATTTAATGTTTTATGTTAATATTTTTTTTATTAATATCTTCTATAATATCTATATGTTGGAATAAATAGATAAATATTTTTAAAAAATTGTATATATTTTTTAAAAAAAAAAACACTTTCAAACTACTTCATCCACTACAATATCCAATCCAAGACACACACTAGGGCAGGAACCCACCGGAAAACATCATCGGAGTGAAGAGAAATGGATTGATCTCACGGCCATGGATCAGGTCAAAAGTCAAAGTCAAATTCAATATTAATTTCTCATGGTCCTCATGGATGCTCATGGACGTCATTTTTGTGTCCATGTGTGTCTATGTATAGCAGGCTAGTGAAAAGGAGTGACCATCTTTGGAAAGCGAATCTTCCTGGTTGCCTCCCCTGTGATTGCCCTATCACATACAGGAACGGGGGGACAGCCAGGCCCCAATTTCTTGGCAGCCTCAGCTAATTTAAACGAAATAATGCTATTATGTTGGTATTTTTAATTTGCTATGCTAATTTATTTTTTTATTTTTAAATTCAATACACATACATTCTAACCCCCAACCTTATAGAGAATTTTAGCATTGGGTTAAAATTTTCTATGTCATTGTTGGATTGCAAGTTGTATAACAAAATTAGAGTAGCTGAGTGCTTGTTATACCTCAATTTTATAAATATTTAACATTTTTTTTTTGTAATTTCCTATTTATTTTTTTTATAATTGTATATATTAAAATTATATTATATTATACTGAATTATCATATATTCTCATTAAACCTAGAAGGCACTGGTAATTCATTAAACATCTCAATGCTCCTAGACCCTCATATATTACTCATAAAAAAAATTATACAGTGATTAAATCTATAATTGTATTTATTTTTATTAATTTTTAGAATTATAACTCAATTAATTAGATTTTAATTTTTTTTTAAATCATCAATTCGAGTTTTATAAACCTCACGATCATTAAAAATTTATATAATTATTAATTTTAAAGCCCATAAAATTAGTCGAAATGTACACAAGTTGACCCGGACACTTATATTAAATAAAAAAATAATACAAATATTTTTATCTAATTATTTTTTTTGTTTCTTTTCTTCTCATGTCTATTATTTTTTTTTAAATAATTGTCGATGGTTACTGCTAGGAAACTATAAAATTCTTCAACTTGCTATCCAATTTCTGTATTATTATTTCCCAAATTTAATTAAAAAATAAATAAATAAAGCACTGGATTGGACTTGAATAACCTATTCACAAGGGCATGCTTGAACACGTCAATTGCTTTTATGATGCTTCTGGTGGGGGTCCTTAATGCTGCCAAGATGAGCATCTCATTCGGATTAATTAAAGATAAAGTCAATACCAAATGTCTCATTCATCTCAAGAGAGTGTATTAATTGGAATAAAAGGTTTGAATTGATTTTTGAAATGGTAAAGCAAAACCAAATAATGTTCTTGGTGATACCCATTTATGACAATGAGATTACACTTTGACTCTCTCTTTGTTAGGAATTAGTCAATAATCATAGAGTTAATTTCGGTGCAAGTCGACTCCAACAAAGCAACATCAACAACAACTTTATCCATGTTTACCTTACCCTCCCGTGATTTATTTGAGATTATAGTTTATGATTTTTTTAAATTTTAAATTATTTTTTATTTTTAGATTATTTTAATGTGATGATATTAAAAATAATTTTTTAAAAATAAAAAAAACATATATTTTTGATACACTTTGAAGAAAAAACACTTTAAAAATCAACTTTATCATACTTCCAAACACCTCTTTATAATTAGAAAAAACATATATTTTTTCTCTGTATTTTTTTTTTCTTTACTCATTTGTTTGTTTTCTTACTTGAATTAAGATGAGTAAATTAGCCTATTAAATTTAGATATTTGGATACTGTAAAAAAAACACCCGTAAAATATATCTAAAATAGATTCTATTTAGAGAAAATTAAAAAAAAAATTCTCGTTAAAAGTTTCTATTTCTTTAGATAAAAACTCAAGTATTTTTTGTTTTTGTTTTGACTTAATTTTTTTTTATCTTTCATTGAAATAAAAAGAGTGGTTATATTCCACACACACACACACAAAGTCCTTCATAATTTACACTTACAATTTATAGATTAAGCAGCTTGCATCTCCATCCATTTGCTTCATTGGATCAGCCAACTTCTGGTCTCATCACAGTCAAAGGTTGAGAAATTCATGTAAGATTTGAAATTTAATATATATATATATATAGAGTCATCTACTTTGAAAAGGGTAACTCATGATGCCCATGCTATCTAGTGCAAGTGCCACATTGTCTTGCTTTTCTCGATACAATGGCATGTGAGCCAGCTGCCTAAAAGGCTCTTTAATCAACACAATAACATAATTTACATAATCACTTATTACTGCTTAAACCCTTTGCATATTTCTTTGCTACCAATGAAAATAACACATGATAATGATTGTAATATTAGTTTTTAAAATATTATCTAACATTTAAAAACCAATGTTATAATCACAACTAAATTAGTGATTTCCAGATGATATGTTGTTTAGTTTAAATTATTATTATTTTGAGTTCATAATCACATTTCTTAATTTATAAATCAACTTTCAGCTATTTTTAGTGGAAAAATATACTTTAATTGGACAAAACATCATATTTATTATTAAAAAAAAAACAAAAATATTGTCTGGTTATTAAACATCATGAGTAAGATATAGAGGTGATATGATATAAAATTATCCAATATAAATGGAGAACAACTAAAAACTGCTTGGATGATGTTACCATGGACGACTGTTGGAGGGAGAATCATGGAGAAAAACAAAAGAGAGAAAGGGCAACAAAAAAGCAATAGCTAGTTAGCACAATTTTTATGTCTAATTGGATGAGGCATACACGTGATAGATACTCTTCTATCGTGATTTAGGGCTAACCCTAACTTTTATGATGATCAATAATTAAGGTTGAAAAATGGTGGCATTAGGTGGAGATTCCTCTAACTGGATTGCTAGCTATCATATTCATCCATGATTGAAATTTGAAAATTTCTTTCTTTTTGGGAGACACAGACACCATGTATTTACAGCTCTTTTCAAGATGATTGCTTGTGGGATGGGCCTTTTTGGGTCCTCCTCTTCCCTATTGGATAATGCAGTCTTTCTTCCTTGCTGTGGAGAATCCACAACAGGTCCAGCCTGCCTAACATTTCACCTGCTACAAGGGATGTCTGAGCTTAATACATAGTGAAAACGACATTGTTCATTGAAGAATTTAAACATAAGTTTTCTTTAAGCTTTCTTGTGTTTGGCTAGTATCTAAGGGTAGAAGAACATGCATATAAAGACAGAAACGTGTTTGGTTAAAGATATAGCAACGAAGATATAAAATAAATATATCTCTGGAACAGTTTTGAAGTGGATTTCCTGTTTTCTGTCTCAAGACAGTAATGAAACACTAGTAGACATGCCGCATGATCTAACTAATAGCGTAACAGCAGCATCCATGTTCAGTCTCTTCTCTAAAAGATTTAGCATTCTTTATAGTTCTTAAGAAGTGAAACAACCTTCCTTGGTCTGTCCAAAGTATGGAACCATTGGAAGGTGAATCCAAATCTGAGAGAACCTTATTCATATGCCTCCAGCAGACCATAACCTTAGATTACTGGAAGAACATCATGTACAAGTTAATGGTTATAAAGGACTAGAGATATGGCAGTACCTTGAATTGGAGTTAGGCATGTACAGGTACAGATGAGCTCATGGATGCGCAGCCTTTCAAGCGTTCCAGAATGGCATTCCGGCTGACAAGCCCTGAGTGCGAAGCGAGAGGAAGGCCTTCTTTGACGCACTCGTCGTACTTCTCCAAAGCAGAAACAATGTAACTAAAATCTGGTCGCTTGGATGGGTTAGCTGCCCAACAGCGCTTTATCAAATGTGCAAGTGCTGGCTGACAACTTGCTGGCAGTGGAGGCCGCTCATTCTGCCATGGAAAAAGTAACTAATTTATATAGAATTGGTCTGTTGCCCCAAGTTCTGAGGCCACAGGATGCATTTCAGAGTTAAAAAAATAGTTAGCAACAAAAGGATCATTTTCAATGGAAACAACAATGGGATCAGATATGTTTATCCCGCAGAGAGTTTTCCTTTTATTGTGAGATCAGTCATATGCATTCTAAGCTCCATCACATATCTTCTGCTACCACAGCTTTCCCCCATAATTTGAGCATAGGAGCCTTACAGATGGTAGACCAGAGGAACATTGCTCCCATAAAACTGAAAGAGAGTTTCTCCAGACCATAGTTAAGACACCCAACCTGCAGTTTGACCCTGCTTAAGGCCCAGGCAAGAGTTGGCCAGGTTAACCTAGCTTCATTAAAAAAAAAAAAAAACTGATTGAATCCAGGGTTTTCCACTAACTCTGCCTGGTCTAAGCCCCGGGTCGGCAGGTCAACCACCGGGCTGGGCCAAATTTAAGAACCATGCTTATGACAGAACTTGAAACAATACGTATGGCATGCTTCCAGTTATTCACAGAGCCTCATATCGCTCAATTTCATCTAAAATTATGCTCCGCTAAAATGCCTAGCAGAGCCCTTTCATATTTCAAATGACCATAGTGGAAGCTCTCAGGTTCCATCCTTATAGTCCCTAAAATAAGTAACCATTTTCAGTTTTTATAAGCATTTCGACATGGCTCAATTGATGTCTACAAATCTTATTTTTGTACACACGGATCAAATGTTCTTTCAGAGAACTAGATCAGCAGCAAGAGTTTTGGTGAGCAATCTCAGAGTCTTACCCTGAAAATACAGCATGATCAACCTAACCAAAACTTGTGATTGTCTGCCTTTTAGAATCTCCATTGAAACAAATTTAACACAACAGTAACTCAGTTAAAGTTTACAGCCTCGTAACAGAAGGAAAACATTAATAAGTTTTGGAGACAGTAGTGGCAATAAGCAGCAAAATCCCGAATCATTTTATTAAGGCTTAAGTGGTCATAAAGCAATGTAAATTTACAGTATCATGGGGATAACAGAATTAGTCTACTCACTCCCTGAGGAAAAATTCAGGCAGATAAAGAAAGGAGATGCTCCTTCTGCTCATATGCCCTAAGGATGGAGAGGAATAAAGCTGAATATCAACTCTGTGTGATACATGCTCATCGAAACTAGTTTTCAACTTGAACTAATTTAGGAAAACTTGTTTTGCAGTACTGTGTTTGTAGCTAGATTCTGGAAATAATCTTTCTCATCATTTCCAAGTTCTCAGAGCTTTTGCCCTCCAAAATTATTCTTCAAAGCAGATACCAAATTGAATTAACCCATCCAAGATGTTACTGTTTTTGTTTATCCATTGGCCACCAATGAGTGATTTCACAAAAAAATTCAGATATCACCTAATTAATAGCAAGCATGAGTTAAGAAGGGGTGCATTGCTAAATAAGATACACATCTTGAAACTAGCAGATGATCAATAACATAGCAATACAAAAATAACAGACAAAATCGCCTCTTTTCTCCTACCGAGTTTTTCGTGCAAATTTTACTGTTTTAGATGATTGTTCTTTGAGATAATAGATCTCATTGATTTTATGAACAGTTGCTTTTGGTTAGCATACACGATAGAAGGGACAAATGCTTAGTAGAAGAGACAGAGACAAGGACAGACAGAGACATAAATCCATGTTTATAATAGTTTTGGAGTTAATTTCTATTCTTTCAAAACAGAAAGGACATGTCTCTCTATTCTAATTGTATCCGCGTCTCTAGTTTCTAGACTTTAACCAAACACTACCTATTATATTATGGGAAACTCCCACTGCTACAAGATGAGCGTTTTATTTTTCTTTTTGGAAACATCAAATTGTAAGATAAAATGCGAGTTGAATCGAACAAAAATAATCTGCATACCTTCTCGGCTACAGCAAATGCAGCTTGGACAGGGGTCATTCCTTGAAAGGGAAGCAAAGCTGTAGTTAGCTCCCATAACACAATACCAAAACTATACACATCAACTTTCCGACTGCAATGTTTCTCCTTGATCATCTCAGGTGCCATCCAGCGGTAGGTTCCCTTGTTCCCTTTGGTTTCTTGGCACTGTGTTTCTAGACATGATGTGCCGAAATCAGCAACCTTAACCCTCATTTCATCATTCAGAAGCAAATTATTTGATTTCAGGTCTCTGTGGATGACTCCCTGTGAATGAAGATACTCCATTCCTCTTGATATATCAAGAGCTAATCTCAGTATTGTTTCTGTTGAAAGCGAGTATGGCTCTTTCTTGTTGAGATACATCCTCAGAGTTCCTTGTGACATGTATTCTGTGATGATACAGTACACAGGTGGCTTTTTACAAGCTGCAATGAACTGCAAAGAAAGCACTTTTACCATATTGCTATAACCAAAGCAAGGATGAGTTTTTAATTGAACATCGTTTCTCCGCCTATGGAAATTGATTATAAAGCAAGACTAAAGCCTAATTTTTTTCAGAAGCATCAATAGCATGAGCTCAGAAACTCATCGAAGCTTCAGGTTGAGGTACAAAGCACAGATACAGATAAGAAATTTGAGGCTTTCATCAAGCTGATACAGGTAAATTTGAGGCTGTCTCAAAAAATCAGGCCAACCCTGTATGGCATCTTCTAAAGCTTGAAGACAACTTAGGGTAACGAAGAGAATTCTATAAATCAACAAAGCTTTCACGTTGGAACAGAGTTCCTTGTCCAAGTCAAGTTACAAAATTAAGCACATTAGACCAAGGAAATACCCGCAGGATACATTGATTACCTTTTATACCTTCACTAATTACTCATTAACATATTAATCATATCAACTACATCATTGCTAATTAATAAAAGGAAATGCTTTTTGTGCTTTTAACTGAATTGGAAAGCAAAACCGCACAGACCTGGACTATATTGGGATGAAAGAGACGCGACAGCAAAGCAACTTCACATTTGAATTGCTGCTCAAGCAAAGTTTTAGTCTCGTCCTTCTGGTTTGGAATCCTCACCATTTTGACAGCAACAGCTCTCTGCTTGTAAATTCCACGATAAATCCTACTATGAGCTCCAGAGGCAAACTTGTTGCCTATAAATAACTGTGAAAGGTCAGCAGTCCATTCCTCTTGGTCCTCCTTTGAAGCCTCCCAAGTCTCTACATTCTCAGATTCCAGTATCATTGACCATGACTCCATGCTGTCAAATCTCTTCCTCTCCAAGCTCTCCATTTCAGAATTCAAATGGGATTTTGATGAGGAAGGAATTGTTAATGTTTTGCTCTTCGGTCTTCGAAGACGAAATGCATGGAAACATGAACTCGCCATTGAAGAACCTCTCTTGTTGTGTTTGATATGACTGCCAAAGATATGATTAAGAAAAAAAGAAAAGGTGTCAAATCAAACAATCAAAAGGAGCTTTCCTCCTGAAAGTGTGGATTGATTTTAGAAAGTGCATGAACTGATTCAGAAACATGGGTTCTGCAGAAAATTGAAAAGGAAAAATGGATTTTCATGAACTGATCAAAACCAGTACAAGAAACAGTCATGCACACAACAAAGAAAACACGCTCATCAAAGTTCTTTAGCGCATGAAAAAACCAGCCAAATGACAACTTTCCATGCTGAAAATTTGTCAACAGATGATAACTACCAATAAAGACAAGGACCAAACAAAGAAAGGTTATGAGGATTCATGGCATGAATAGCTGAAAAGCAAAGAAAAGAAGACAATTCATGAAAATGCAGGGGTGTTACTGTAGCAAAAAAACAAGGAGAAGAGAGATTTTCACGGCAGGATCAAGAGACTAGGTCGTTTGGCAGTGGAAATATAGATGAATTCAAAGCAGAAACTTCATGGGGGTCTCGTGAATGCTCCAATGAAAAGTAAAAGAAAGAGCTTTTAGATTATTGAGATATCAAGAGAGAAGGAAAGAGGGGGAGCTCTTTTCTGGACAGAAGCCAACTCCTCTGTTTTCTGCTGCATCTAATCTTTCGTTTTTATCATCATTAATGCTACTAAGTGGGTACAGTGGCAAAGTGTGACTTATGTTCATCAGAGGATCCTGATTGATTAACATCTTCTGATTTTCTCCATCTCTTAAGCTAAGCTTTGCCTTCAACATTAGGATAAAGAAAAATCCAAACTTTAGGATACGCATCTTTTAATTACTGCTACACTACCATTTGTGTGCCACATACAAGTGGCTTTTACAGGTGGAAACCTCACAAGTGGCAAATCATACACCATCTGACACGACTGTCTGTTCTTAATTCCTTCTTGTGATGTCTTTGAACTATCTTCAAATATAGCAAGATCCCTCTATGTTTGGTTAAATAATTGCTCGCGCACAAAAACAGTCATAATCTAGCCATGGTTACAAGGCGCAATCAGATCTCTGACTAAGCCCAGGATCCAGATTTTAGATTAAACTGGTCAACTAGTGGATCAACGGATTGGTTTGAACTTTACTTTCTTCAATAAAAACAACTAAACCTCTCTCCTTTTGACTATCATTGTAAGATAAATCCCTTGTTGTTTTAGATATTTAAGTTTATCTTCTTCTATCTTCTAACATTAACTAGCTATGATCTATGTATATAAACATATGTTTAAGGATTTGATGTGAAATGAACTCATTTATGTGGGCCGTCCCTTTCAGTCAACATAGAAGAGAAAGGAATGGATTCATCCATGGGCCATTGGCAACTGTTTTGGTAGTCTGCATGTGATTTAGAGCAGTAAATGATGTTACGTACCATAGGCCATAATTTTATGATTAATATCTCTAAAACAAAAGCAGTGGCATATTCGATAATTAAGTTCATAGTAATGAACATCGGCTTCCCTTCGAAGTCCAAAGTTTAATTTCTTCTTCTTTTTTTCCTTTCATTTCTTTCTTTTGAGATTTTAGTTGATGGTATTCGGTTACACCAGTTAGTTATGCATGATTTGGTTTTGTAATTAGAGTGTTTTAAAAAGTAATTTTAAATTAAAAAATTATGATTATTAAACTCAGATCAAATTAACAAACAAACACAAAAAATACATAACTCAAAATCCAAATCAAAACACATTTCAAATTAAATAAAAAAAATATATTAATATAGTAAAAATCAATTAACTTATATGAGTTTTTAACATCCATTTAAGCAGATCAAATCCAATTCAAATTTAATTGGATCATTTTCAATAAGTTTTTTTTAAATAATGAAAATAAAAATAATTGACCTAAACTATAGATTAATAAGATTATCTAATGATTTAAATATTTTTTTTAAGTAAATCCCCTTATAAAACTAGTGTAGAAAGGCATTTTTTCTTAAATAGAACATACAACGATGTAAATTATATATATAAAAAATAAATTTAGAAAAAATTCTGAATTGTATTACAAAAGCAAACTTTATCAAATGTCTAAGATTCCCACTTTGAAAGGAATATATATATAT